TCCGATTTCTATATGATATAAATATTAACACTTCAGATTATACACCGTGATATCGCTGCAAGAAATACATTAATAGGTAAAAATAACACGGCAAAAATCTCCGATTTCGGTTTGAGTGTACTGGGTGCTCAGAAAAAGGAAAAGACTCTCAAAAAGGTATGATTATGATCAGAGGTCCCAGCTTCAAATTTGAAAGCACAAGTTAAGCAGGTTCACTACTTCAGGTGCCAGTCCGATACTTGGCTCCGGAGACTTTACAAACTCGAAGTTATTCGACAAAAACGGATGTTTGGACTTTTGGCATCTTTATGTGGGAGGTAATGTAAAAGTGTCGGGAAATTCGACATTGAATATGGTTTTAATTATGGACCATCATTACAGAAGGAGAAGACGGAAACTTTGTGAAATTACATGGCAACGAGCAGAACTATTATAGTTGGGGGGGGGGGGGGAGGATGAGGTGCCTTGGCGTAGTGGTCCGCTTTAGCGTTTCTATCCACTCAGGCGCCGGCATTTGTGATAGCGAGAAATTCGGGCTAGCTACGCTCCTTTCTGACAGAAAAAATTCCGCAATAGAATCTTTATGGGCAAGGTGGTCACCTAGAATCGTTCTGGCATTTGTCCAAATTCATCATTCAGGTATTCCATGACGGTATGACACCATACGACGAGTTTCCCAACACGGCTGCTATAAGAAAATTTGTCCTTGCTGGCAACAGGCTCAACAACGAATCAGATCGATATCCTGATTACCTATGGACCCTGACTCAGGTAACCTCACTCACACTAAGCTATGGCAAACATATCACGGAATTCTGAGTTGGGTGAAACGGCAAAGGAGCAGAACAGTTAGCGGGGGTTACAAGGCTTCTGTCAACCAGGGGGTGAGAGTGTAGAAGGAAAAGCAGACGTTCTTTGTGGTAGTGGGACTAAGCCTTTTGAAGGAGGTAAAGAAAGCGGAGATTCTGTAATAGTGCGCTTGTGTGAGAGCTCCCAGACAGCACAACAAAACGCTGAATTGCCTAGCCTCACGGTTGACAGATGTCCGGAGACCGCGTTGGGGGGGACAGTGTTGCCCAGATAGGGTTCAGCTTACCGTTTTGGCCCTGGCATAAACTTCGTGTCAAGCCGACTCCGCAAGGGAAGGGGTACTCGGGGATAGGGAGTTGCATCGTTACGCGGAGGGCGGAAAGCAGCCAGCTCTCTCGTTTCCCAGCTTCCTAGAAATAGGTCCTGGGGGGAGAGGGTTCAGGGAGGGGGTGTGTGAGCAATTTCCATTTTTCTCGAAGCCCATTCCTCCTCCAAGGCTCAATCCGCAGACTGATGTCCCCCCCCCCGTCCCCTAGGTACGCTAGCGCCAGATGGCAATCCGCGCCTGGGGCTATAGGTACTTCAAAAGGTTGGTGTGGTTTGAGCTCTGTGGGGGTACTCAAGCCTCGACTGAACGCTCTACAAGGACGTCTCTTCCCACTCTTATCCGCTTACACTATCAGCCTGCTCTTACCTTCGTCAACAGCAGAATCTGAATCTAAGCTTGCCTTTCCATTTTTATTTCTTACCTTTTGTAAGATCGAAATATTCACAATCTCAGATTATACACCGTGATATCGCTGCAAGAAATACATTAATTGGTAAAAATAACACGGCAAAAATCTCCTGATTTCGGTTTGAGTGTACTGGGTGCTCAGAAGAAGGAAAAAACTCTGAAAAAGGTATCTCCATGATTCAAGTCCTGTTTTCAAAGTTTCATGAAGCTAACATTACCTCGTCAAATATTTCAGGTGCCAGTCCGATATTTGGCTCCGGAGACTTTACAAACTCGAAGTTATTCGACAAAAACGGATGTTTGGACTTTTGGCATCTTTATGTGGGAGGTAATGTAAAAGTGTCGGGGAATTCGAGACTGAAAATGGTTTAGTTATGGACCAAGGAGAAGACTGAAGATCTGTGAAATTACATGGCAAGGAGCAGAACTAGTTGGGGGGGGTTACAAGGCTTCTGTCAACCAGGGGGTGAGAGTGTAGAAGGAAAAGCAGACGTTCTTTGTGGTAGTGGGACTAAGCCTTTTGAAGGAGGTAAAGAAAGCGGAGATTCTGTAATAGTGCGCTTGTGTGAGAGCTCCCAGACAGCACAACAAAACGCTGAATTGCCTAGCCTCACGGTTGACAGATGTCCGGAGACCGCGTTGGGGGGGATGAATGAGGTTGTCTGGCGTGAGTGTCCGATTCAGCGTTCTAATCACGCAGGCACTAATTTGTGAATTCGCAAGAAATTCGTACTATCACTCACTTTTCTTGAAAGTTCCGCTTAAATTGGCAAAGTGGCAGGCGCGCCTAGAATCGTTCTGAACTGCTGTGCGCGAAGTCATCAGTTCAGGTATTCCATCACGGTATGGACACCCTCCCCTAACGACGATTTCCCAAACGGGTGCTATAAGAAAATTTGTCCTTGCTGGCAACAGGCTCAACAACGAATCAGATCGATATCCTGATTACCTGTGGACCCTGACTCAGGTAACCTGACTCACACTAACGCTATAGCAAACATATAACGGAATTCTGAGTTGGGCGAATGATGCCCGGTCCAGGGTCAACCCTATACGTGTTACTTTTTAAAAATTTTACGACCCTCCCCCGAATGATTCATACGACCGCCCTTTTCCCCCAGCCGACACACAGCATCGTCTTTACAGCATTCAATTCTAACGCACTCAGCCACCGAACTCGCCCACTTCTAGATTTAAGGGGTGAAAGTATATACGCGCCGAAACAGCAAAATTTTTTTCCTGCGCCCCTAACCCACCCAGCCTACCTACCCAGAAAACTTTCAGTTTCACCTGAAACTCACATGTGATTGCAAGCGACTGAAACGGGTACGACCCCCTTCCTAAAAACTTCAACCAAGTACGACCCCCCCCCCCCTTGTTACTAGTAACAACGTAGGGTTGACCCTGGCCCTGTAGCATGCATAACTTGCAGCGCACTTGTCCCGGTATGCGAGAGGTGCGGGTTCGAGTCCCGCCCAGGCGGAAGTTTTTTTTTGCATAGCCTTTCTGTGAGGCTTTCGTAAGGCGAACTGCTGCCAAATAAATAGTATTAGACAATCTAGACCCCATCGAAATTCATCACGCAGGCGATTTTTATAACCACCTATATCTGCAAGCTTCAAAAATGTTTTTGGTGCTAACTTAGTTGGGGGGACCACGCGGCGGCGCGGCGCTTTGCTCGCCTGGCGCTCTCTCGAGCGAGATAGTGTGAACTCGAACATTCCAGCTTTTCACGCATGTCAAGTGACTGCCCTCACCCCCCCCCCCTAGACTGCCTACACTCCCCCTGGCTCACGGATTTCCCGAGTACAAAGATGCCAGGCGAGCAGACTGCCGCGCCGCCGCGTGGTCCCCCCAACTAAGTTAGCACCATTTTTTTTGTCTCTTCTATCAAATCGTATAACTATAGGAATGCTGGAAACAAAACGGTGCCGATAGACCTTCATTTCAAGAAATTACCAATGCTATAGAGCACAAATGGAGGAATACAACGAAGCCGAGAGACCGTTTTGGAAGCTTTGGTAGTTGAACAAATTTGTATATTTGGAATACTGATCCATCATTGCGAACAATTATTATCATGCGAAGTATACGAAGTAATGAATTATTATTTTTCTGTGTTCACATCACAGCAAAAACTAAAACTTACACTATGCGGTGCTCAGGTAGTTGGGGGGGGGGGGTCTGGTTCACTATGACAGAAAGTGACTTCTTCGCGTTTCGCAGCGCAAAGATATTTTCCATTGCAGGAACCTCAGGTCCACCGCTGATCATGAGTGGGCCTGGAGCTCCCGCAGCGAAAAATGCTCCGCGCGCGAATATCCGCTTCTGTTCTAATGAAAGCACAACCCTTGGGAAAGGGCAGCGTTGCCGCCGCGGCGTGCAGCTGCAGCCCTTCAATGCGAAGCGAGGAATCCTCGACTTAGGAGGAAAGCAGCACTTCAATAATGGGATGGGGCGGGTCACTTGACATCGTGAAAATCGTATCTTGCTGAGAGCACACAGACATGGCGCGTACCAGGGCAACGACTGCCTCCTCCTCCCCCCCCATTACCATAACCTCTTGAATGCCTAAAACTGCTAATATTTAGGTATGCAGTTACGAGCGGCTTCGAAAGAGGATCCCACGATAAGGTCGGGGGTCAAAGTAAAGGAATATACCTTATACAAAGGCAGGCGGGCTCCTGAGGGTGCGGGACGATGCGCGCAGCGAAGAGTATGCACAGCGGCCTAGTAAAGCCCCATTAGGTCCTTCTTATAAGATGCCCCGTATCTTGCGATAGCGCCGCCAAGATTAACTTTTTCAGTCAAAAAAGATCAGACATAATGCCCATCAATTCCTTTGATGTAACCTGCTACGATTCCTTCCCTTGCAGCAATAATCCAAGTT